GAGGTTATATTAAGTAACGGACTACCTTTAAATTAAAATAACCCGTAATAGTACGTACTCCCGCGCCTTTAAAATTCGTATCGATATTAATAATCGCGTAAACCGAATTTCTTAATTAAAACGATATTACGGAAGAGCTAATTCCGAGCGTAAAAATATTACGCGGTAATATAGGGATTAGTTTTTAATAGCTCGCGGAATAAGCGCATGCGTTAGATTTTAGGGGAGGAAAGCCATTCTTAAAAGCGTAATATATATTAAAAAAGGCTCCGCTAGTAAAGATTAATAGGGCTTAAGGTAAGAAAAGCGCTAGGAATTCCGAGGCACTTAATAAAAGTAACGTATTCGCGTTTTCGTTTAAACTAAAAAGGCCGCGTATCCTTTAAATGAATTATAACGCGCGTAATATTCCTTAATAACGCATTAGCCTCGGTACTCTTAGGGTTTTCTAACGCTTACTCGAGATCTTACCGCGTAATTTATTACTACTAAGCGCCTTTTCTTTTTACGAAATATTTATTTATTATTATCGCTTACTAACGTATAAGTATATTAAACGCGATAAAGCGGAAAGTAAGGTATTACGCGAATCGATTATCGCGTTAACGTATAGCGTATTATATTTAATCGTCGAAATCGATCTTACGTTACTTTAAATATATAAATTTAGCTTCTCTACGCGGAAATAAAGTAGGAAACGCTAGTAAAAATAACGTAGTTAAACGTATGAATTCGTTAATAAAGGTCTAGTAAATAAAAGGTATAGATAAATAATAGGTACTTATAAGCTTAACGGGATAACCTTTAGAAATAAGCGCCCCCTTTAATTCTAACTCTAAACGCTTTATCTTAATTTACTTTAACGTAACGTTTAATATAATAGATTTATCGTATTAGGCCTCTAACCCTTTTAGGTCGCCCTCCGTAACTAGGTTAGTCTAAAGCGCTTAACCGTTATCGACGAAGTCTTAAATATTAAGCTACTTAAAAACATTACCGTCGTTAGGTAGCTCTTCTAACGCGGCGCGATTCCATTTAAAGTCTTTATAACCTAGGTAGTTATATCTTAAATACTTAAGCTATACTTCGATAACGCGCCGGCGTATTCTAAACTTAGTTCGAAACTAGGTTATCTACTTAGGATTCTACGCTAGCTCGCGTAAGCGTAATAAAACGATATTAAGATATTAAGGGAGGAGGGGAAAATAGTCGTATACTTTACTAACGTTACGTATAAAGTATACGACGTAGCCGCGATATTTATACTACTAGCCGCGGATTATAAATACATTTATTACTACGTAAACCCGCGTAATAAGTAGTTCTTCGATTATTATTAGCTCTAATAATAAATCAAAAGAAGAAAGGATATTAAAGTTAAGATAATTACCTACGTTAAAAAAGAAGGGCTTATTTACGCGCCTTTTCTAGTCTTTATTATAATAACGCTTATAGATATCCGCGGTATTTAAATCCATATTAAATTAATATTTCTCGTAACGATTATAATATTTACGTCGTTCTTACTTTAGCGCTAATTAAAACCGTATTAAAATCGCGTAATCGGTATCGCTAACCGCGCTAACGTCGAGGTCTTCCTCCTACCGTAGCGGCTTAATTATAAACGAATTCTAACGATTAAAAACGCTACTAAGTTCTTAAAAGCGAGCGGTATTTAAAGGAAAGGTTTAATTAAAAGGTCGGCTTAGGCGCGGTTATTCTCGCGCTAGTTTTAGCGTAAGGGGTTCTAGCGTAAAGGGCCGTAAAGGTCGGCTTCGACGTACTTATACTTACTCTAGCGCTAGTTCTAGCGTAAACGCGCGTAAAGGTCGGCCTCGACGAACTAACTCTCGCGCTTATTCTAACGTAGGCGTACGTAAAGGTCGGCCTCGACGAGCTAGCTTTCGCGTAAGTACTCGAGGAGGTCGCCCTCGGGGCGCTAGTTCTAGCGCTACCGCTAAATCCGCTAATTATAATTATATTATTAACGAAAAAAGTAAAGGAATAGGAGAAGGGTTACCGCTATTACGTCGGGTTACCTTATACCGTCTTCGAATTTATTATCGTAATACGTTACCTACGCGTAAAGCTACTTCTTTAGCGCTTAAACTATATACCCGAGGCTACGCGGTAGTAAAATATAATCGATAATAAGTAACATTTAGTCGCGGAACCGGTTAAAACGTCTTAAGCGTAGGATAAGATCGGGAATCCTATATAGAATTAACGGTAAAGTATAAACTACTAATAAAGAATACTAACCTAAGTAGGACGGCGTATATTTTCGCGGCAAAAGAGATAATTTTTTATAGATATAACGTAATTTCGTAAATTAATAAATTACTCGATAGCTTAAATTCTTCCGTATATACGACATTCTTTAACTTAAAGCGACTCTATCTTAATTAAACTAAGGATAGATTATAAGGATAGATTATAAGATACGGAGAAAAGTAGGAATTATATAAATAAGAATAGAAACGTATAAATAAACGCGTTAGTAAATATGCGTAGGAATTTTAAGAGGTAATAAGGATATGCTAAATAAGAAAAACTCTATTTATTCCGCCGTTTTTATTAGGTGCACGCATTTTTAGGGACCCATAGCGCGTTTTTTAGCCTGTAAAAACAGAGTTTCCCCTAAAAGACACCCCTTTATAGGGGTATTTACAGAGGTATTTATAGGGGTATTTAACCCCGTAATTAATTAGCATAACAGGGGGTTATACGTATTATAACTATCCTCCGGATAGGATTACCGTATCGGTACCCCGACTCTATGGCTAATATACTATCCATAGACCCCCCCCTCCCTGTATGGTAGTATGTTAGTAATAGAGTCGGGGTACGGATACGGTAATTAAATCTAATAAGGATTACCTTAACTAGTTATTCTTTCGAAAGAGCTAAAAGAATTATAGCAAGAATCGCGGTACCGACCTTATTACCTTTCCTTCTTATAATTTTAGGATGGTTTTTATAACTACGTAGGAACTAATGTCCAGACGGATATAATGTCTATATATTCCATAGGTACCTACCTACTTACCTACCTACCTTCCTACCTACCTAGACCACCTACCTACCTAGACCTATTGTCTTCATCTTTTTTCTATAAACACCATGATCTACTACCTATCTGCGAACCTATCTTCGAACCTATCTGCGAACCTATCTGCGAACCTATCTGCGAACCTATGAGAGCCAGTTCGCGCGTAGAATCTATCTATCTTCGAACCTATCTACGAACCTATTTGCGAACCTATCTTTAAACCTATCTTCGAACCTGTGAGAGCTAGTTCAGGCATATGGAATCTATCTATCTTCGAACCTATAAGAGCTAGTTCGCGTACGTAGAATCTATCTATCTACGAACCTATCTACGAACCTATGGAAGCTGGTTCGCGCATGGAATCTATCTATCTATCTTCGAACCTATCTTCGAATATATGGGAGCTAGTTCGCGTACGTGGAATCTATCTATCTTCGAACCTATGGGAGCTAGTTTACGTACGTGGAATCTATCTATTTGCGAACCTATCTGCGAACCTATGGGAGCTAGTTCGCGCGCGTAGAATCTATCTACCTATCTTCGAACCTATGGAAGAGGTAGGTAGGTAGGTAGGTAAAAGGTTAGGAGGTAGGTAACAGACGTAAAAGATACAAAGGTACAAAGGTACGTACTTAGTAACCTAGAAATAACCGGGTAATCCTATGGAATATATCTTTTTTTAAAATAAAGACATTATATCTAGATAGTAACTATGTCGGGAAATAGTAATAATATTAGCCTAGAGTTTAACTTACTCTTATTACGAGATAGATATTATATCTAATTATAGAAAGGGTTACTAATATAGTATTAATAGACCCCCCCCTCCCTATATGATAGGTAGGTAGGTACTTATATAAAGTACCTATACTTATAAGCATATAGATACTTAAGGTATACCGCTTGTTAATAGTAATGTTTACTCATCCTTGCCAACCAGGTACAGGTACCAACCTATTAACTAGCTACCTAAGTAGGTAGGTACTATACGAGGAGGAAGGGGTCTATAAATAGTATGTTAGTAATAGAATCGGGGTACGGATACGGTAACTAAATCTAGTAAGGATTACCTTAATTAATTATTCTTTCGAAAGAGCTAAAAGAATTATAGCAAGGGTCGCGGTACCGACCTTATTACCTTTCCTTTTTATAATTTTAAGATAGTTTTTATAACTACGTAGGAATTAATATTCAGACGGATATGATAATATCTAGACGGATATAATAATATCTAAACGGATATAATGTCTATATATTCCATAGGTACCTACTTACCTATCTACCTACCTACCTAGGCCTACCTACCTAGACCTACCTACCTAGACCTACCTACCTAGACCTATTGTCTTTATCTTTTTTCTACAAACACCATGATCTACTACCTATCTTCGAACCTATCTTCGAACCTATGGAAGAGGTAGGTAGGTAGGTAGGTAGGAGGTTAGGAGGTAGGTAATAGACGTAAAAGATACAAAGGTACAAAGGTACGTACTTAGTAATATAGAGGTAACTAAGTAATCCTATAAAATATACCTTTTTTAAAATAAGGATATTATATCCGGATAGTAACTATATCGGGAAATGATAATAATATTAACCTAGAGTTTAACTTACTCTTATTACGAGGTAGATACTATATCCAGTCATAGAAAGGGTTACTAATATAGTATTAATAGACCCCCCCCCTCCCTATATGGTACCTGTAGAGGCAGGTATATGTAAGTTGTCCATATCTCTAAGTACCCTTGTACTCTGCCTATCTTTAAGAACCTTAGGTTTACATACTACAATTTTCCTCTTTATAGGACCTCAGGTCTCTCCTTATCCCACAACCCAACAGCCAGTTTTAGTTCATTGTTTACTCTGTCGTCGTTGATACGGCGTACTTCCTCGACTAAACTTCCGCCATTCTACATTCGACCTCCCCGTAATAATTCCTGCAGCCGCTTTACTCCAACCTCAACCAAAGGGAGCTCGGCAGACTACCTCGGGTGCAGCTACATCATGGACTACGAGGCTTTAAAGGAGCAATGGAGTGAGGTGGAGGATCGCGATGGTGTTCGATTGAGCTGGAATGTTTTTCCGAGCTCTCGTGTGGTTGGTCGTATTTCCTACTCCATACATGCTCGCACGTATTGAAATTTCATATAGGAAGCCTCCCGCCTTGTCGTTCCTATCGGCGCTCTCTACACGCCACTGAAGGAGAAACCAGATACCCCTCTGCTCCAGTTCGAGCCTGTGACCTGCAAGCAGCCCTGCCGTTCTGTCCTGAACCCCTTCTGGTTAGCCGGCTCCTCCGTCTCAATTCGCTCCCGGTCCCCAGAAGCTGACGGTATCTTCTCTCAGTCAAGTTGATGTCCGGGCACGCCTCTGGATCTGCCCATTTTGTCTCTCGAGGAACCCTCTGCCACCTCATTATAAGGACATTACCCCCAATGCCATACCCCCAGAGCTACACCCGTCAAATACAACGATCGAGTATAGGCTCTCGCGACCAGCGCCTAGTCCGCCGATCTTCCTCTACGTTGTTGACGCATGCCAGGAGGAGGACAGTCTCTCGGCCCTGAAAGAATCTCTTATCATGAGTCTGAGCCTCCTCCCTGAGAATGCGTTAGTCGGACTGATCACCTACGGCACAATGGCATGATAACACACACCCGCTACTTGGAATGCCGTTGCTGATATACGAGTGTAGGCCCAAGTCCACGAGATCGGATATACCGAATGCGCCAAGTCTTACGTCTTTCGTGGTAGCAAAGATTACTCTGCCAAGCAGGTGCAGGAGATGTTGGGTCTACTCGCTCCAGCCCTGCGCCCCGGAATGCCGCAACAACAACCTGGCCGACCTGTGCTACCTATGGGACCTGCAACTCGGTTCCTACTACCTGTTCAGCAGTGCGAATTCCAACTAACCAAGATTCTCGAGCAGCTGCAGAAGGACCCGTGGCCTGTTGCGAGTGACCGCAGAAATCTCCGTTGCTCTGGTGTTGCGCTTAGTGTCGCTGTCGGCCTGCTTGAATCGTCTTTTCAAAATGCCGGCGGTAGGATCATGTTATTTGCAGGAGGCCCCGCGACTGAGGGCCCTGGAATGGTCGTCGGACCGGAACTGAGGGAACCCATCCGCTCTCATCATGATATCGATCGTGACAACATCAAGTACTATAAAAAGGCATTGAAGGTTCATACCCCCCCCCCCCTCCCCCGGTCGTATCTTTGGCTAGCACTCGCTTTTATTTATGCTGACTTGAGTACCCCAGTTCTACGACAATCTTGCGAAGCGCACGGCCCATAACGGTCATATAATAGACATATTTGCCGGGTGTCTCGATCAGGTAGGGTTGCTCGAGATGAAAGGACTATGCAACTCCACTGGTGGTCACATGATTCTGACCGACAGCTTTACCTCGTCCATGTTCAAGCAATCATTCATTCGTGTCTTTGAAAAAGATGGCGATGACAATTTGCTAATGGGGTTTAACGCCGTCCTCGAGGTTCTGACAACCAAAGAGCTGAAGGTGACTGGACTCATCGGGCATGCCGTCTCGTTGAATAAGAAATCGACATCAGTTGGAGAGACGGAATGTGGCATCGGCAATACATGCTCATGGAAGATGTGTGGCATTGACCCCAACGCAAGTTACGGTATCTATTTCGAGATCGCGAGCCAAGGTGGCCCCACACAGCACCAGCAGGGCCAGCAGAAAGGCATGATGCAGTTTTTGACATACTATCAACATTCCTCTGGGCAATTCCACCTACGGGTGACTACTATCGCTAGAAATTTGAGCGGTCCAGCAGGCGACCCGGCTGTTGCCCAATCCTTTGACCAAGAAGCTGCCGCCGTACTAATGTCAAGAATTGCCGTTTTCAAAGCGGAGGTTGATGATGGTCCCGATGTTCTTCGATGGGTAGACCGTATGCTCATTCGATTATGCTCTCGTTTTGCCGACTACAGGAAGGATGATCCTTCTTCGTTCAGGCTGGAGAAGAACTTTACTCTATATCCCCAGTTTATGTTCCATCTCCGGCGAAGCCAGTTCCTCCAGGTCTTCAATAATTCGCCTGACGAAACAGCTTTTTACCGGCATGTACTGAATCATGAGGATGTCAGCAATTCTCTCGTGATGATACAACCGACTCTCGACTCGTACACTTTCGACCAGGATGGTGGTCAGCCAGTACTGCTAGATTCTACTTCCATTCAGGCCACGCACATCCTGTTACTGGATACCTTCTTCCACATCCTCATATTTCACGGAGAAACCATTGCTGAATGGAAAAAAGCTGGTTACCAAGATCAGGAAGGCTATGAGAATTTTGCAGCCCTTCTTGAACAACCAAAAGAAGATGCTAGAGTATGCGCGGGTGGCTACTTTGCCATAAAATTAATGCTAACTTCACAAATAGGACCTTATTGCTGACCGTTTCCCGCTCCCTCGTTTCATCGTCTGCGATGCTGGTGGCTCGCAGGCCCGCTTTCTGCTCTCCAAGCTTAACCCATCCACAACACACACCTCGGGGGCTTATGGTGGTGTCGGTGCGCAGACCGCGCAGACAATCTTTACAGATGATGTATCACTACAGACTTTCATGGACCATTTAATGAAGTTTGTAATCTCATCTCAAAGGTCAGAAGTCAAAAGCTAACAATTCGGTAGGCTGGCCGTCAGTGGTACAAACTAGTTGCATGTCCACAATTCCACAGGTGCTCTTCTAAGACTTTGCAGTGTTTTTCTAGTCTTCAGAAGAGAGTATAGGTAATAGCAACTAATAATTTGCTGGGCGATCCTGAGACGAACCAGGTGTGCCCATAGGCATATTCGCATGTTTAAAGTATACATGCAATATATGTGTTAGGTATAAATATGTCAAGCATGGCTGGCCTTATAGGCGTTAACGCCCGCTAATGGCTGTTACGAATAGAATTAATCTCACTTTCAACTTGCTTCTATAAATGTAAAGAATTTAAATTCAAACGTAATGTAGCGGTTTGATAGTTTTAGATAAATATTATTTTAAAGCTAAGTATAAATACATAAGCATAGTTATACATAGCTGTAAAGATAAGCTTTCTTTATTATAATCTAAATAGTTTAAATAAAGTACTTAAGCTATAATGTATAAAAAACTAAAATAATTATAATTAAATAATAATCTAGCTACGTTTTCTAAACCCGCTTTTTTATATAGCAATACCCTTTTTTTTTAAAGGTAAAATTTATAATTTACTTATTTATAACGTAAAATATAGACGCTTATATTACACTGTGCAGTATATATAGGCATATACAGCTAGTTGAACTACTATATAATATACTTTCTAGTTGTTGGATACCTAAGGTAGGTAATAACTACTTGCGAAATTAAACTCTAGTAATAGTATTACTCTTTTTATTAGCGTGGCGCCTCTAAGGAACCTTACTACTAGACAGAAGTAGCGTGAGCACACTATTATAAAACCCTATATAGTGTACTGGTACGGTGGGACTAGGCCACGTAGCCTTTTAGATATATATTTATATGGCTCTCGCACTTACCTTTTCATCGATTAGACTCAGTCCTATAGGCATCACGACCTTACAGCTATTTACTCGTTTCTTGAACTGCCTTTTTTACTATCTACCTATTAGGAACTATGGTTGGGAGAATACCAATAGGTACGAGTCAGAAGATATAAGAGAGGAAGTATTAGAAATTACGGTTGGGAGGGTACTAATCTATAGAGATCATAAGGCATAAGAAGAGAAAGTATATATATACTAAGTAAAAGAAAGGTTATTCTGCTTTCTATTATACGAGCGACGACTCTTAATATCCTGACGGGTTACTTAAAAGGCGATTACTTACTTAAAGGACGAGGATCGCCCGTTATCGAAATAATCGCCCGTTAAATAAAAAAGGTATATATAAGAAATAAACTATCTCTTTTAATTTAAATAATCTTTATTTAGCTCTTTAATTATTAATCTTAAGTATATAATTTATTTTTAAGACGTACCTTAACTGTAAGATTAAGAAGTATTGTAGTGGTGCGGTGGATCTAGGCTACGTAACCTTTTGGATGTATATTTATATAGGTCGCGTACTCATATTTTCATTAGTTAGACTTAGACCTATAGCTATTACAGCTATCAGCTATTTACTCGTTTCTTACCATGCCTTTCTAGCCATCCTCGTTACTCCCTTCTAGTCTTCCTTTCTCCCTTTCCCAGCTGCCATTTTTAGCTGGCCGATTAACCGATTACAGCTATTTATAGCTATAATCTTAGTTAATCGGTACTAGGCTAGTTATTAGTAGTTAGGTAGTCCGTTTTCGTGCCTCTATTATAGCGTGCCTACGCTGCTCCTATTTAATAGCGACCACCTAATAGCTCGAACCTTACCTTATCTTAAGAGCGACCTTTTAGACGACCGTTTTTGCAGTCATCAGGTTCAGGATACGTCGATCAAAAAATTCCCTGTCTTTCAATTAATCGGAAGCTGTTTTCGTAGCTCTAGAGCCGTTTTCGTAGCTTTTAGATTAAGCCTTTTTAGGTTAGGCAATAGGATCAACGGGAGGGCAGATAACCATGGCGACCATCTCAATAACCTACGCCTTTCCATCAGCTTTTGATTAGCTTACTTAAAAGCTCGTCCGCCGATTAGTAGGAATCCTTATCCTCGTTTCTTAATTATCTCTTTTAAAGGAGCTATGCCCGTTTTTATCCAGTTTCGCCTTCGTTTTTTACTAGTACCTAGATGGCAGTTTTTTCGCCCTTAGTTAATCTGACTCCGTTACCGCTACCACTCCTTTTTATAACACGCGCTTAAAGGTATCCGTTCTTTACCGATTAGTTTATTTTAATTACAAGAGGCTTGCCATCCGATCGCCCTTGTTTTATCCCTACTAGTTAGTTACGGTACCTAGGGAGGTTTCTCCTTAACTGATAGGTACTACGATGCCCTTATAATAAGATACCGATAGACCTTATACTTACGAACCTAATCGGGGAACCTACCGATTAGCGCGATAGACCTATAGACGATACCGCGATACGAAATAGATACGATATTAAATAAAAAAGCCTAGGAAAATAGAAATAGCTATAGGATAGAATAGCTATAGGAATAGTAATACCCGGAGACCTCTTTTGTCGCTCTTACCGATATATAGTTAATAGGAAGAGCTAGAGCCCCTAGAACTACGTATAGGGGAGGGATCGAGGGTTAAGGGAAGCCCGGTAGATGCTACCGGACGAATAACGATTATACGAGAATAGCCAGAAACGAGTTATAGAAACGGATATTGAATAGGATATATTAGTTAGTTTATAGGATTAGGATTAGTTAAAAGGATTAATAGCCATAGACGAGAAGGACGGAGATTACGTTGCATCGTATGGGATTGTTTCTTTATTTCTTACGGGAGTTACGTTTGTTTTACCTGCCCGTTATAGTTCCTGTTTTCCTAACGGATCCTTATTATTTCTTAATGGCACTGATAGACCTGTCTCGCTCCCAGTTGATTAGGGTTGATCAGGAATAGGTTGATTAGGTTAGTTACAGCTATAGCTCCGCTAACCTAGTTATTATCGGATCTTTCCTGATCTTTCCTATTATTTCCTATTAATCGTTGGTTAAACTAGCTTAGCTCTTAGTTAACAGCGATTAAACAGGTTCGGGATTAATCAGGTTTAGGATTAGGCACAGTCAGACACGGTTATAGTCACCTACCCTACCACCCACCTATTACTATTATAATCGTTCCCAGTTAACCTATTCCCTAACTTATCCTATTAGCCGTTAATTAAACTAGCTAGCTTTTAATTAATCAGGGTTAATTGAGATTAGGTTAATTAGTGGTTAATTAGGTTTAACAGGAAACGAGAGCCACCGTACCTATTATTAGGAGTTTAATTACTCCTTACGGATTAATTAAACTAGGAAGGCTGTAGTAGTACGGTGGATCTAGGCCACGTAGCCTTTTAGATATATATTTATATAGGTCGCGTACTTATATTTTCATTAGTTAGACTTAGACCTATAGCTATTATAGCCATTAGCTATTTATTCGTTTCTTGCTATGCCTTTCTAGCCATCCTCGTTGCCTTCTTCTAGTCTTCCTTTCTTCCTTTCCTAGCTGCCGTTTTTAGTTAGCCGATTAACCGATTACAGCTGTTTATAGCTGTGATCTTAGTTAATCGGCACTAGGCTAGTTGTTAGTAGTTAGGCAGTCCGTTTTCGTGCCTCCATTATAGCGTGCCTACGCTGCTCCTGTTCAGTATGTAAAGTATCAGTTATATAACTATAACTGATTCTTTAGTATATTAAGATAAATATCCTTATTATTTATGACTATTAGTAAATATAATATAGTTATAATATTTTAATAACTCCTTAATTACGGAATTAAGTATGGAAGGGAATAAGCGATATTCCTTAAAAATACCAGTGATTAAAAACCGATTCTTAAGTACCTAATGAATATCTAAGGACTTCAGTAATTAATTTACCCCTAAAGGAGAAATAACTACGAACTCCTATAAATAATAATTCTTTAAGTAGTTTAACTCCTCCAGGAGAAGATAAATTATCTAAAGAACACTTTCAGAATTTAATATAAGTAAAAAACCTTAAAGAAAAAAGAGCCGAGTTAATTAGAAACCTTAAAGACCTTAATATCGACGACGATAGTAATAACGAAATATCTACGTTAGGAACCTTAATACTGAACAGGGGCAGCGTGGGCACGCTGTAATGGAGGCACGAAAAGGACTGTCTAACTGCTAACAACTGGCCTAGTGCCGATTAACCTAGATCACAGCTATAAATAGTTAATTAATTAGTCGGCCAGCTAAAAACGGTAGCTGGGAAAAGACTAGAGTGAGAAGGTAAGAAGAGAGGCTAGAAAGACATAGTAAGAAACAAGTAAATAGCTAATGGTTATCGTAATACCTACAGGTCTAAGTCTAACTAATGAAAATATAAGTACGCAACCTATATAAATACGTATCTAAAAGGTTACGTAGCTTAAATCTACCGTATTACTATAGCGTCCTTAGTTTAATTAATCCGTAAGGAATAATTAAACTCCTAATAGTAATAAATACAATGGCTTTCGTTTCTATTAAACCTAATTAACCTAATCCCGATTAACCTTAATTAATTAACAGCTAGCTAGTTTAATTAAAGGCTAATAAGATAAGTTAAGAAGAAATAGGTTATTAACTAGGAGCGATTATAATAGTAATAAGTAGGTAGTGAGAAGGAGTAGAGCGTACGCAATGCTGGAGTCCCGGATAGGTTTATACGAAAGTGTACTCTATCGAAGACTATAGTATATACGATAGTTTAAGATAAATAAAACTAATATTACTATATTAACCGAGAGACGAAGAATTTAATGTAGTTATCGTATCTTAGGTATATCCCTCGGTCGTAGAGATATAGTAGTCGCTAACACGAAGGTATAAGAGGTAAAGGGAGAAAAAGGGTTAAACGTAAAAGTTATTTATTCGGTTATAGCGGTACGAGGAAGCGACTTAAGCGCTTATAATTAAGATAGATATATTAATCGGAAAACAATAAATCTAATAATAAAAATGAATCTTTAATAAAAATAAAAATAATAAAGATAGTAATCTAATTAAGTAATAAATTAAATAATAAGTATAACATAACCTATACTTACGGAAGCTATAGTT